ACTGACCTTGTAATCATCCTAAAAATAATATTGGGTACCAAATTAACCTTTTCTCTTTCTAAAATGACTGCAGATTGTAATATAAAATTATAATTGTTTATAATTAATTTTATTGTTTTATTGCCAACTGTTGGAGGATGTTGAAGAGCAGAAACTTTTTTTGAAGACCACATGCTGGAAATGGTGACAATATCTATGTCCACCCAAACATTGAAGAAAAGGAATGCTCAGGGTTGTTTGGAATCGAATGAGCCATCTTGGCAGTAAGAGGTGAAAATATTACGAGAGAGATAACTGGATCTCTAGACATATATTTCACTGAAGAGATGCAAATGGGCATGTCCCAGAGGGATTAGGGACTCTAGAAAGGTTACAGTCCCCAAAATAGATAAACCAATTCAAGAGTGCGGGAAGAGATAACATTAGAGCTTTCGATTCCAGAAGCTTCATGTCTTGGAGATTTAAAGGAGAAGGCCGAGCCTGCCCAACAAACAAGATAACCCCCCCCCCCCCAAAAAAAAAGAGAGAAAGAAAGAAAACATATACCAAATGGTGGTCAATATTAACTGATAGCTTAATCAGTCAACTTAATCAAGCAGACTCCCAAAGTAGTTACAGCTGAGGTTATCTCTCAGGACAGGCCTAGGAGAAACTAATTGTCTATGTAGTAGTAGAAATACAGACCCAATGAGTAGATCCTCTGTGCAAAAGCCATCAGGACCTGATTGAAAATATATGGGGCTGGAGCTAACCTGAAGAGAAGGACCCTAAAACTGAACTGAAAGACCCAACTATTGTGGATGAAACAAAAGAAACAGTGGGTGGCCAGATGAAATAGAATGTATAGAAAAGCATATGAAAAAATCAACCCTAGTCATCTATAACCCATGAGAGATTACTTACCTTTCATCTTGAACTGAGGAATAATAAGAAATAGGTTCAGCAGTAAAAGATCCAAGATGGGGCACCAGTCCCTCATATTTTTTTGAATTACAAAAAAGATGGAAGTAAAACTCCAGAGAGGGGTAAAGGAATTGTTTCACTATATTCATTGCCTTGAAGGACAACACAGCCTCCACCAGGTGCTGAAGATACAAAGGTTGTGTAAAGAATATTGGAGTAGGGGGAAAAAGGAGGTAGACAATTGAAAGAGTGAAATAACTCATGAAAGAGTACCTGTGTGACCCAAGGATTTTCTGCAAAGGGAGTCCATAGGTGTGCAAAATGTAAGAGCTAAGCTCCCATAGGATCAGAGCCAAGGGGTGGCTTCAAAACATCGTCTCCAACTCCTCTATGGCTGGCTTATTGGGAGGGGTGATGGAAAGAAAGGGTCACAGAAAGAGATGCAAGATACAAGTAATCGAATAGGCTCACTAGGACAAACTTGTTGGGTCTTCCTGAACCTGATGAACTGCTTCGGCTATAGTTTCCAAAGTATAAGGAACTTCCCCCAAAACTTTTTTGGAAGGAAAGCTGCCAAACAGAGTTCCCTAAGATAAGACTAAGGGATTCTAACCATAGAAGACATAGCACTTTATCCAACCAAGTTCCAGACACGAAACAACTAAACTGGATAACTGCTGAAGAAATTAAAGCCAGCATGGAGAACAGGTAGGTGTGACATTCCCCAGTAAAGCTGTCAGGTTCACGATGTAGAACCTTAGTAATATGTAAACAGGTATCAAAGAGGCTGAGCAAGAGATAGAGTCAAAGTAGAAGATCTGATGTTTTTTTTATTCTTATGAACATTTCCACTTGTGCCTTTTTCGTGGTTATTTGAATATTACAGATTATAAAACATGTAACAAAATTTTGTAACTTGACTCCAAAAGGTCCTTGAAAAAACATAAGCTGAAATATTGAGTAGAATAAAAAAAAAAACATTTCTCAATTTTCTTGCCTTCCTTGAATATGGTTTCTATCCTTCAATCAACAATGAAAACTTGAAAAATGATAATTAAGTTTTCACTGTTAACTGAAGGATGGAAACCATATTCAAGATTCCCAAGCTGGAACAACAGATTAAAGGGATTAGAGCTCTAGAAAAGAAGAGTCTCAAGGTTAGGGAGGATGTGTCAAGTGAGGGTTAACATGAAGCTCAGATACAAAAGAGCCTACCTTAACACAAATTTTGTAAGGCAAGGTGAAGAGAAGAAAATATGAGGATTTAAGGTTTATGCAATAAGCTTTCTTGCATACCGACAGAAACAACTGGACTTAGAGAAAGGATGTTATATGTCTGAGATATCAAAATGACAAGTTGGGGTAACCAGACCCTCATCTGGGGGTGAACTTAAAAGCAAAGACAGCAGTAGGAAGAGCTAGTAAAAATCATCTAAAGGCATGACAGGCTCAATGAAAACTACAGAAATAGGAGGCTGTGAGTCCTTGATCTCAGACAAAGAATTAAGGACACAACCAACCACTTGATGTACTTTGATGGTATCTTTGAAGAAAAACTAAAATATCTCCTGTTGAAGGTTCTCACCCTCCTGGATATGGTCTGATGTTGCAACATAGACTACCACAGGACACATTATTCTATGCAGGGATGAGAATATTTTCAATGGCTTATCACATGCCTGAAAACTTTTCAGTTGGTGTCCTGAGACACTAGATAATTATTCTGTGGAGAAGTAAGTATCTATCTGAAATATATTTTCAGGTACAGAAAGTGTTAACTTTTCTCAATTAGTGTATACAAGATTGCTGATTTTGTTGGTTTCTTATCAATTTTTTTTCGATTTATTTTTTATGCCATCTCTTTAGGATACACTAATGCAAGTAGTTCAGATACTCCTTAAATGTAAACTTCTGGTGTGTGATGAAGAAGATTCAGAATTACAGTCTTCATCGGTGGTATCACTGTACTTTGGATACAAAAACAAGAAGCTTCGAGTGAATATCAATGTTCCTCTGAAGACTGAATTAAAGGTTGAACAAGAAACAACACATAAGCATATAGAAGAAGACAGAAAACTTCTGATTCAGGTTTTTTTCATGTTTTTGTGCAGAATTTTATTAGTTTTTCAGCATAAAATTGTTGATACTGTAAAAAAGGTAGCAGTTTAACAGCAATTGAAGACTGAAGTATCTAAAAATTTACTTTGTTTTTGATGACTAAACATTTTTTGTCTTTTACAAAAAGTTACTTATGTAGTAGGCTAAATGTTTCTTTATTATAAGAAATATATTTTTTTAACTGAAAGTTTTTGAGGGCTGGTTTTAATCATGATTTCATTAAATATTTTAACACATAAGTCAGAAACAATCTGTATAGTACCAAATCCTTCATGAGACTAAAATGTAACTGCATGTTCTTGTCAAATAGACATTATCTATCAAATATACACTGAGCATGAGAAGCTTGAGAAGGAGTTTCAAACTAGCAGAACAGGTGTATGGGTTAACTTAAGTTTTGCATATTGGGATCTGTAGACTTAGAGGTGTGCAGTAAAGAATATTTCAGTAGATTTGTGTTGAAGTATTAAATCTTTGTTACGATAATAGTAACAGAAAAGAAATTCATTCAAGTGCTACTAACCATGAACTTTAGAATCAACTGTAATGAATTAGAGTATCTTTTATGTAAGCTAAGTGCTGATTATTTCTGACTTCTACAATACACCCAGCTTTACCTGTGTAGAAAGCTCAGCTATCGGGAAAGTTTAAAAATAGTACATTCTACAGATTATCTGACAATTAGTAGTTAAATTAAAGGCTTTGTTTTTGGAGTTCTTAAGAGTATGTAACTGTAGTTCTAATTATGACATATTAACAAATACAAGTATACAATTTGTAAAACATTGAACTTTTACTTTTGTGTTGAATACAATATTAGGAAGGAGGAAAGAGCAAGATTTATCATTTAAATTTGACACTTGACAAAATTTGATCATCGAGGGAAAGGAAATCAGATTGGTTGTATGTGGATCTGTACACAGGATTTCAAAGTAACTTAAATTATGCAACTTTTCATTACTAGAGAAATAAATTTGTTTCGGTTAAACATTTTGTTGTTGTTTAAACAAGGAGTTTATTAGTATTTTATTTTTGCAGAAACTGGAGAAGTCATATTTAAAGAGTTTCTGGAGATAAACTGACACTTACTAGGGATCATATAAAAAAAAGTTATAGCTTGGGTGCTTATATTTGTTTTCTGTTACTATTTGACAGATGATATATGATATTATTCAAAGTAAATCTGCTGAAAAAATTTACTACAATTTTTTATTGCCTTCAGAGTCTGCATTTAAATTACTAATCTGTTTTATTAATGTATCAGATCTTTTTCTCTCTACTTTTTATCTGTTTTATTACTGTATTATTTCTTATGTGCATTAATTTTCTTGATATTAATTTTTTGTATATGTATATATTTTATTGACAAACGTTAAATGTTCTATTTTAATTTCTTGAAATACTTTCTTGGATGTTTTAGGCTGCAATTGTCCGGATCATGAAGATGCGTAAAGTACTTAAGCACCAACAGCTCTTACTTGAAGTTCTAAACCAACTATCATCTAGATTTAAACCAAGGGTTCCAGTCATTAAGGTATAATCTGATTATATTATAATAAATAAATTAAGGCTGATTTTGGGAGGGATTAATTAACCAAAAATGAAGTTACTATCACCAGTTTGCATAATGGACATGCCAGTAAGACACTGTTAGATTGATATATATATATATATATATAT